TACAGAAAATGATACACTTTCTGTCCTCATTGCAAAAGATATGATGTGAAGCTTGTTGAGAACAAGCATAATACTGTTTGTGTAATTTAAAAAATGCAGTTCACTTTTACCCTAAAGAGATGTTGGTTTTGTTTCCAGTGTGAAACAAAAGAAAGAAAGCAATAAATCTATGTACATTAGAACCTCTGGTCACCACCATAAAGCCATCGTTCCATAACTATGGTGATTTCTTCATCTTCTAATGTTTTGTCTTCAGGAATTTCTGGGTCAAGGGTCGTGTTTGACTGCCACCCAAGTATGTGTTCGTGATCAGATTAAAACATTTTGTGAATTTTTTGGTTGGAACCTGATTTGGTCGGGGTCGGAAGCGTTCATGACCAGAGGTTCTACTGTATTCCCCAAAATCCAAGGTAATGAATTGATTTTCTGTTCTTTTTGTAAAAAAACCTTCTGCCTCATCCTTCTGTTAGCATATTACTGATTATGTCATTATTATTACTATAGTTTTCGGCAGTGCAGTGGCTCAGCGGTAAAGATGCTTGGCTTGGCAGCTGGAAAGCCAGCAGCCTCCATTCAAGACCCCAGCTCCATGGGACAGAGTGAGCTCCCTTTATCTGCCCCAGCTCCTGCCCACCTAGCAGTTCAAAAGCATACAAATGCAAGTAGATAATAGGTCCCACTTTGGCGGGAAGGTAACAGCACTCTGTGATGTCATGCTAGACACATGACCATGGAAATGTTTTTGGACAAAGCTGGCTCAATAGCCTTGAAAGGGAAATGAGCAACACACCCTCTAATCAGCAATGACTAGCAGAATAAAATCCATAGGGACTCCTTTACTTTTTATTCTGTTACTATAGCTTACATCTTATTGTTATTTTCTTAGAATCATGTGTTCCTGATGAATTACTACTACTACTACTACTATTAGGATTGTGCAGTACTTTGGATCTAGTCTCCAAAAATGGCTTCAGAGAAGGCATGAATAATTTTTTCAACAACATTTTAAAGTAGCTGTGCCTTTTCACAAAATTGTGCAACACCCACAGAGCACAGCCTCTAAAAAGATGCAGCTTTTGTAACAGGTGCTGTATCTGTGTTTTTACCACTCTCACTGTACTCTTTTGAACACTGAATCTGGAGTGTAGCAGAGGCCTAACTAATACAATGATTGCAACCAGAAGTGGTATTCAGCAGGTTCTGACCAGTTCTGGAGAACCGGTAGTGGGTATGTTAAGTAGTTCAGAGAACTGGCAAATACCACCTCTGGCCCCACCCCCATCTATTCTCTGCCTCCTGCATCCCAGTTGTTGGCTGGGTCTTCTTTTGTTGCCTTGCACAAGAAAACAGAGCTGGAAAGCAGGTTAATGGGTTGGGGAGGGAATGGGATTTTGCAGTAACCTTCCCCCTGAAGTGGGGTGGGAATGGAGATTTTACAGTATCCTTCCCCTGCCATGCCCACCAAGCCAAACCACAAGGCCAAGCCACGCCCACCAAACCACACCCAGAGAACAGTAGTAAAAAAAGTTTTTTTTTAATCCCACCACTGATCGCAACGCATCTCTCTTTATGTCCTAACTGTAGTGTTGCTGGACTAAGGTTGGGGGTCTGTCTTAAATTCACTGTGATATGGTCCTACATGCATACAATTGTGCTATGAATAATACAAAGCTACAAATCAGCAAAATATTTTTTTCTTATTCATGAATGCTTTAATTCTGGATTCCACCCAGCTTTGAATGGAAGCCTTTGGAATGTAAATCCTAGGCTCCTTAGAGGAAATGTCCTTAAGTAATAATACATTTAATAAGAGTGGCTTCAAAGAAAAATACAGTTTGGAATTTATTACATCTCCTGCTGAGTTTTACAAGAGAGGGATAAAAATTATGAAATATCATTATGTTTAAAAGGGAAATGGTCTCTTCTTCATTTAGACTGTAATTCTATACTCAGATACTTGTCAATGAAACAATTCTTTTAAAATTGGATTCTTTAGTAGAGGAATACCTCAGAGGTATTGCAGGTTTTGTTCCAGACTATCACAATGAATGAAATATTGCAATAAAACCAATCACCTAAATTGTTGGGTTTTCCAGGAACATAGAAATTATGCTTACACTATATTTAAGTTTATTCAGTGTGAAGTAGCATTATGTGAAAACAAAAACAAAAAGCAACTCTCAGCTGTTTCGCCACATTCCAGGCAGGAAGGGAAACAAAGGTCTCAAGGTAATGATCAAATGAGTCTTTATTCGTCCATACAATGTTCCGGATTCGGGTAACGAGTAACCAAAAGGAATTAAAGTCAGCTGTGGCACACCTCGCAGCCAGAGCTGTATTTATACACCAGTTAACAACTTAATGAGTTTATCCACCATCCGGTGAACACTACTGGATCACATCCGGTCACCATGTAACACCCTAAACACCGTGCTTTTTATCCATTATTTACCGCTATTTACTATACTTGTACAAATATCATATTCTAACATTGTATTTACGCCTATGAAGTGACCCTCCAACCCTCCCAAGATCATTAGTTCAACAGGCAGCAACCAAATCACTTTGTCTACAATTGCCCGCAGGCTGTAACAGCTCAGCGTGTGATGTTAGCAAGGCTCGTTAACTCTGTGGAACAGTCGAAGCCCCAGGTTGGGTGATTAACAGCACTTCCCCCCTCAATAGCATAGTCTGACATGGCACAACGTGTGGTGTCATGGCTCCAGCATGCCCTGGAGACATGACAGGTGGCCCCTCTTACCAGAACTCTGCCTGCAACATAGGAAAAACATTATTATTACTTACAGTCATGGCAGTTACTCTAATTGCAACGTGGGCCCAGGTTTGTTGGGGTATGTATTATGGAAACAATGCACTAAATGATCTGCACATTCTTCTGATGCCTTCACCCAGGATGCTTCTGATAAAGGGTAGCCCTTCCAACGTGCTAAATATTGGATACTATTCCTTCTTTTTTGAGAGTCGAGGATCCCAGCTATCGCAATGTAATCTGTATCATGTTGATAACCCTTTTTTATTTCAGGTACTTCGACCTGGGAGTCAATGAGTTTTAATAAACTGACATGAAACACTGGGTGTATACGGCCCAACAATGATGGTAATTTTAACTCTACTATGACAGGATTAACTATTTTTGTTATCGGGAATGGACCAAGATATTTGGGCCCTAATTTCTTTCCGTTTAATTTCAACTTAATATATTTTGTTGACAGGTATACTCTATCTCCAACCTGGAAAGGTTTATGATCCTGCCGCTTCTTGTCGGCATATACTTCAAAATCGATTGCCGTTTTATCCAGGGCTTTTCTCACATGTATCCAACTAGCTTGTATTTATTGTGCCCACTGTGGACACTGACTGGGTCATTGGGATAGCTATTCAAATCTGGTAATGGACTGAACTCCATGCCATTAGCTACATAGAATAGACTATGTACTCCTGTACTACTGTGTACTGCGTTATTGTACACAACTTCTGCAAATGGTAACAGCTCCGCCCATTCTTGTTGTTGATAGGATACATAAGATCTTAAATATCTCTCCACCATGGCATTTGCTTTTTCTGTGGCGCCGTTCGGGCTTGAATGATAGGCTGAACTTAATCTCTGAGACGATCCCAACAAACGGAGGAATGTTCTCCAGAATTGAGCAGTAAACTGTACTCCTCTATCAGAAATTACTCTTCGAGGGATTCCATGTAATCTATACACATGTTGTATGAACATATTGGCTAGAGATTTAGCCGGGGGCAACCTTTTACAAGGTACAAAATGTGCCTGTTTCGAGAATAGGTTGATGATTGTCCATATAACTATATATCCTTACTGGTTGGTAGTTCCACTATAAAATCCATGGCAATATCCTGCTATGAATGTTGAGGTTCAGACACTGTTCGTAACAATCCCAGTGGCTTTCCCAGTCTTGGTTTTGACATTGCACAGACATGACATTTTTTTATATATTGTTCTATTTTGGACCTCATTTTTGGCCACCAAAATTGGCGTCGAACTAAATGTAAGGTTTTAAAAAACCCAAAATGCCCAGCTTGTTTGTCATCGTGACATTTTTCCAAAATGTAATTCCTACATTTTTTCGGTACATAAATCCTGTTTCCTTTCCAAGCCAAATTATCTCTATAGGAGACCAAGTCAGCATTACTGGTAAGCCATGTATCTGTCCGAGTTGCCTCTCGCAACATATCCTCCTTTATTTCCTTTAACCATGTAGCCTGTCCCGTATTCCTGGTGTAATTTCTGGGATCAGAGGCTGAACAATCACATCTCGAGGTTCGTTGTATTACGGTAGTCGGGACAGAGCATCTGCCATAAAATTTTGACTGCCTGGTACATAGCGCAGTTGGAAATTAAACCTCTTAAAGTACATAGCCCACCTAACTTGTTTGGGAGATAAACGGCGGGGCATTTGTAAAGCCTCCAAATTCTTGTGGTCTGTCCAGACTTCAAAAAATTCTTCAATGCCCTCTAATAAATGTCTCCATGTATTTAATGCCCATTTCACTGCAAATGCTTCCTTTTCCCAAATCACCCATCCTGTCTCTGTTGGGGTGAATTTCCAGAACGTATAAGCACAAGGTTGTAACAGTCCTTGTTCATTTATTTGCAAAAGGACAGCGCCAACAGCCACATTGCTGGCATCAGCTTGAACCACATATTTTTTCATGGGATCAGGATGTTTTAGAATCGGTGCCTGGGAAAACAATGTCTTCAAATTGTCAAACACCTGTTGACATATGGTGGACCACTCCAGTTTTTGACCGGACATTGGCTTTGTTTTCTGATTCTTTGTTTTTAGTAGTTTGGTTAATGGTAACACAATACTAGCAAACTGTGGTACAAATTGCCTATAAAAGTCTGCAAAACCAAGGAAACTCTGCAACTGTTTACAGGTTTGTGGGGTTTCCTATTCTATTGAGATCCATTTCCAAACCATTATGGGAAATTCTATATCCTAGATAGTCCAATTTACTGCAGTGAAATTCACATTTTGACAATTTCACGTACAATTTAGCATCTAACAATTTTCTCAGTACACTTGGTATTAATTTTACATGTTCATCCAAGGTCTGTGTATAAATTAGGATGTCATCTAAATACACTAGTACTCCACGATAAATGTTCATGCAGCATCTCATTAATCAACTGCATGAATACTGCGGGAGCCCCTTGCAGCCCAAAAGGCATCACCTTAAATTGAAAACTACCAAGGGGACAATTGAAGGTAGCTTTCCACTCGTCTCCTTGTTTAATACGTATCCTATAATATGCTTCATGCAAATTCAACTTCGTGAAGATTTTTCCAGTGGCCAATAAGTCACTGATCAAAGGCAGAGGATATACATTATCTACGCATACAGTGTTCAGCCCTCTAAAATCCACACAGAAACTCAAGGTTCCATCCTTCTCCCTAAACAATACTGGGGCAGCTATATGCGATCGTCCAGGCTGTATGAAGCCACAGGCCAAGTTTTTTTATCTAAATAATTCCTCATCTCTTCCATCTCCTTGGGAGTCATTGCGTACATACGAGGTTTAGGTAACTGCACCCCTGGGATCAATTCTATTGCACAATTGGTTTTATGGTGGGGGGGGTAGGTGTTCGCATTCCTCCTCACTGAACACTTTTGCGAGATCCAAATACTCAACCAGGTAGGGGAGTTTTTGATGTTTACCTATGGTGGTTGCTAATTCCTTTCGTGAATTCTGCGTGAACTCCCCTGGATTTGCCTGAGGGGGATCCGGTCCTACCTCCAGTCACAAATGATGACAACCACAACCTAAATTAAAATATACTTTATTGCTAAAAAAAAGGGCTAAGCACCACCTGAACCTTCAGTGAATCATCATATTTTTGCTACTGGAGGGTCTTGTAAAAATAGCAGTATTTGTGAAGCTTAATAGAATGAAGAATAGTTGTCCTTGACATCCAACTACTCATTTAGTAACCATTCAAAGTTACAAGGGCACTGAAAAAAGTGACTTATGACTGGTCCTTGCATTTATGACCATTGCAGCATCCGCAGGGTCACGTGATCAAAATTTGGTAGCTTGGCAAACAGCATGTGGGGCATGTGATCACCATTCCCAGCTGCTTCCAACAAGCAAAATCAATGGGGAAGCCGGATTTGCTTAACCGTCGCATGATTCACTTAGCAACTGCAGTGATTCATTTAACAACTATGGCAAAAAGGTCATAAAATGAGGTGTAACTCACTTAACAACTGTCTTGCTTACCAAAGGAAACCTTGGGCTCAATTGTGATTGTAAGTTGAAGACTACCAGTACTTTCTTTTCACCCACAAGGGATACTTGCTCAATAATGTCTTTATAGTACAGCCACCACAGATTAACATAACTGTCTTCCTACAATGTGTCCAACAGATGATGCAATAATAAATACTTTTCCAATTAACAAAGTCTACACATTTGATGAAATGAGCTACAGCTTATAATTTTTAATAAAAATGTATTTGTTGGAAAACTTGCCACCAGGCTCCTGATTGCATGCATTATCCATTAGAATATTTATATTAATTATTGGCACATTATTATGTAGCCTAGTTTTAGACAGGCTATTCCTTCTCTGGTTATATTTCCTTTCTATTAGGTAACATTCTTCCGCACATGCTTCACTCATGTGGATGATGAAGTCCAATATATTCTATTGCTTTGAGTTGTACAACTTCAGCATTCAGGTTTACACCTGTTTCAGTTTATACACGAACAATGTTGCATGGATGCCTTTTCTTTCCTCATCCAGGATACATTTCATATTCCATCAGTCAAGCCAAGAATACAGATTGGATCAGTGGGATAAGAAAAGGAGCTAATTGAACTTTCCAAATGAAGATGGTTGTCGCTGATATAGTGAACTTCAACAGCATGGCTGAACTCTCATTAATGTAAATCTCTCTCCAGTCTATTCCTGGCCTGTAGCCAGGAGGTCTCTAGGAACTCCAGTTCAGCAACAGTAATAAATACCAATTTTCCCGATTTGCAAATATAGATTAGAAAATCACATTTTAAACTACCAGCCTAAATATAGCTTTCCTTTTCCCTATCTGTTCTTTTAGCCTGGAACATTAAGCTACAAACTGCAAGGGTTATATCCTAGTGTCCTTTTAGTGGAGAAATCTTGCATACTCCAGTAAAAATGCAGCTAACAGGACCCAATCACAGCTGGGAAGGAGGTTGTATGTTTTGGACAGTTGCCTAGTTGTAAGCTGGAGGTTGACTTCCAAATGGTTTTAAAAAGATAAATATATAAATACATGAAAAAAATTCTATCAGAAAAGTTTATTGTTTATTCACTACAGAATCAGAATTTGATTCAACCTAATGGTTCTTTGGTTCATTTGTCCTCCAATTTGAACCATGGCAAAGAGCACAAATATGGCAACCAAGCTAACATTACTGGTTCTGCACCCTTGAATATGTTGGTACAGTTTCTCCATTGCTACTTCAATAACTGTTATCAGAGATGTTTATTCCTTTTTCTGTCTCTTGTAGATTCCACCGCTCCAAGGTTACGTACTTATATCGTGTATCACTTTGTAATCAGGCTTATTTATTATTCCAACTTTGGTCCTGTACTCTCATTAGACTAACACTGATCCACTAGCACCTTTCAACACTACTTTTCAAAACTTGTAAATGAGTAGATCTTATTAATTTTTCAGCAGTATAATAACAAAGTTAGGGTTGCACATATGTCATTCACTAGCCAAGGTGAATAACCTTTGACTGCCATTAAACCCAGCAATTCTGCAGGTCAGGCACACATTTTGCCTTTCAAGTAGCCTGTTGTATTTGGTAATATGAGAACAGATCACTTGAGCAGCGCACTGTGATGAGATAAAACAGCCCAAGCTTTCCAATTGAATCTTGACCCATGGAATTTCAAGATTGTTTTAAATCTTGTTTAAAAGTTTTCTACTCCTTAGCAAGAAGCAAGAGAAATCACCATTTCCCTGGGGCATACTGCATGCCCAGTCCTCTTACAATTTTATTCTTAGTCTACGCAATCAAAGCATAACCTGATTAGAACACTAACTCAATGAACAATGCTAGGCAAGTTACAGTATACAAATCATCACATGGCAGAAAATATATGGATGAATTTATCTTCTTCAACTACCATAGCAGATTCAATGTGGCAAAACAAATTTATATGCATACTTTACTATGTTACTATATCATGCTGCATTGTAAACACTGGAGAACAAGATTAAATAACTTTTTGCTGGTGTCTTTTGCTTGAGGAAAGCAGAAGGTATTCTCAGCATGCATGCACTATTCTTAAGGGCTAAAGGGGGAGTCAATGGTCAAATATACTTTTCTACTCTACAGGTTACAATGGGAGAAAAAAATCATTGAGATTATTTTTATCATTAAATCTAATGACAATTCTTGTCAGGAGAAAGAGTTATGCTTCTCACTCTTATCTGTGACGAGACTTAATTTCTTGCTTGGAAGAACCTTCCTTTATACAGAGAAGCCATATTAGTGTATTGCAGCAAAAGCAACAGGATCTTGTGGCATTTTAAAGGCTCACACATTCATTCTGAAATATGCTTTTGAGGCGTACCATCCACTTCCTAAGCTATATTTATGTTTGGAAACTATCCACACACTTTTTGTACTACAAGAAAACACTTTTTAAAATCATTGCCCAAGAGACATTATTTTTCTAGTTTAATTTTTCAAAATTGTTATTTTCTTGTTGTTTGAACTATTTTATCTTCCTAGTCTTCTCTATTCTGCTGGTTAATCCTCACATTGGCCAGTTTATCTGTAATTTCAGCCCCTATGCCAATTGCAGGTAAAAGGCCTGTGATATTTGTCTCTGAAAACTCAGCCTGACATTACATCAAAAGAATATAATCCCGTGAATAACCCTAAACACTAAGAACTAAAACTCAGGACTGGTTCACTGAATTTGGGAAGTTTAGTTATAACCAAACTTGAATGATTAATATTTTAAGTTAGCATCCTTGACCTTCAGTTCTAATAGTAATATAAATGGGTGAAATAAAACAGAGTCAATTGACTATAGATCTGAATCTAGTGGAAGATCTCTGACATGAGATGAGGAAGAATTCCTGTCTTGTAATTGTTTAACAATAGTAACCAAATGAAACATTTTATAGATGAGAAAACATTTTATAGATAAGCATACATAGTTAACTTATTGTAATGTACTAGAATTTTCTCAAGGGGATTATTAAATAATATCAAGAAAAGTTTTAATAACAGAAAGATTCTAATCCTCACTAAAAAAAGCCATGGAACTTTAATATATTTCAGTTACAGCAAGGTTATTCTGTTGTACACTCAAAAAGTGGAAAATCTGACACTACCCACTATAAAAGAATGGCTGGTAAAGATGATCAAACTTGTAGAGTGGCTAAACTTACTTCCTTGATTAGAAAAAGTATCTTTATGGCTGACTGGAAACTCCGTATAGATTTTTTGCATGAAACAAACAACCCACCTCTATTTACTTATGAGTTGTGGTTTTGATGATTAGAAAAAAAATATATAACAGAAAAATGAGTTTCTTTTGTAATCATAGTAAAAGATAACTTTATGATCATACTTATATTTGCTGCACAGGAAATTGGAAGCTTCTTTCTATTTTTCTTTATCTTTTCCTTCTGTACTTTTTTCTTTTTTCTATTTCTTTATTCTATATTAGTTTATATTAATTTTTATGTTTTCTTTAAAACTTTTAATAAAATTTATTTTAAAAATCTCCAACAGTAGTAATAAATTGATATTTCTCCCTGAAATATAAAGAAACTACTGAAATGAAAAATCTTGCAGTAAACCATGGGTAATTTTTTTGTTTATAGGTAATGATTTGCTGGCTTACGAATTAATTTCTAGATTAGAGACATCAGCTTGCAGAGAACAGGGAGAACATTCTTACCATAAAAATGATCATAGATGGCACTTGTAGCATACTGGCCATTGAGTGGAAAAGCTAACCAGATAGGAATGTTGCGGGTGGCATGGGTACCACAAAAATCATTAAGTTTATACCAGTTAACACTAGTTTATATATTCTCTATCTTATTCAAAGTTATTATGTGAAAGCCTCAAATGAGCAAAAATTTCAAGTGCCATTAGTTAAATGGTGGTTATGAATAAATATATAAAGAATATGTGTGGTGATGTTAAGAGGCATCCTGTTTGATGACATGAATTTCTTAGTATTTTTATACACACAAAATGTTGTACCATTGGCTAGGGCACCAAATGATTTTTAGCAAAGTTAGATTGATGGTAGATATAGAGAGAAGCGTGAATATGAAAAATAACGCAACAAAAACCATAGAATCTGGGTTTGATTGAGAAAATGGAATGAATGCACATTATAAATAAATAGTGAAATACTTTAACTGAAATTATTTAAGAAATAAATGAATAAGTGTTTCTTGGTACAATAATTACTAAAGATGGGAAAATGAATTGAGAAATGTTCGGATGTGAGGAGCTATAGTAATATAAAGACAACGATCACATGAAAAGAAGAAAGGCAAAGAAAGGCATGCTAAGTCAAGTAAAAAACTTCTAGTGGCTGAAGTTTTGTACTTCTATGGAGGAAACCCAGATTCTATTCCAACCTTGCTCAGAGCATTTCACTGGATGACTTTGGGTGAACCACGCTCTCTCAGCACAACCTATTCTAATAAAAATCCAGGATATAAATATAAAGATAATTGAATGAATGAATCATACTATTAAAAGAATAAGCTACACAAAAGATAAAATATGTACCCTACATGTGCATATGTGTATAACATATGTCATTTATAAAGATATTGAAGAGTACTGGGCCTAAGATGGAACCTTTTGGTACTCCACTGCTTACTTCCTCCATGTAGCTGTAGTACCATTAAGGATGACCCACTGAATACGGTTTGTCAGGCAATTACAAATCCATCTGGTGGTGATGCTGTCTATCCTACATTTTTCTAGCTTACCAAGTAGTCTGTGGTCTACTTTGTCAAATGCCTTGAAAGATTATAAAGGTCACAAAATTGGGCATGACTCATTTAAACAACCACCTTGCTTAGCAATAGAAGTTCTGATCCCAATTGTAGCCATAACTTCGGGACTACCTGTAGAAAAGTTTTACGTTGGCTGGAATTAATAGTCCTATTAAAAGGTCCTTCATCATTGTTTGGGCAAAAAAAAGGTATGTTTTCCAGATCAACCTTATTGACAAAAAGATTTCAGATGTTTCTATGTGCTGTGTATATTTTGTACAACCTTTGCAATATTTTGGTAAATTAAGCTACATACAAAGACTGTTAATAAAGTAACATAATTATTTTTTATTATATTCCATCTGTGTGCTAGGTATGGAACACAAAAGATTTATGTATATGGCATTCACCACCTTACCATGAGAAATTATTGACTACATTTCATTCTATTTCAGCTCTAGTTTGACCCACTTATTATATAATTACATCACTGCACTAAAAAAGTATAAGTCACTGGATTATTTGGAAATGCAATTATTCTCAAACTGCATAAAGGGTAAGTTTGCAGTTTCTGAATAAAATCTGAAAGGTCATGTACATTCAGTTTCCTATGTGAAAGCTGGTTAGAAATGTGTAGCTGTCTCCCAGGATGCAGACCGAGTAATATATTTTCTGGTCTGCTCTCCAATCAGGTCAGTAATCCTAGAAAAAGTATTTTAGAAGGAATGAGCTAAAATGTATTTTTATACTTCCCCAAAGTCAAGGAGAAATGGGAACTGTCTGCCTTTTTTAAAAAGCAGAACTGTTTTTGATCTTTACTATTTTGACATTTAGGATTCTGAAAACAAATTAAGATTATGCAATCCTTTCCCTTGACCACATGCTTTCTTTCTAGTATTAAAAGTGCACAAATTTGGTTTTCATGACCAAATTTAAAATCTCTTTTAAAAAGGGAATGAAATATAGGAGAAAGATTTGTTTTTAATAGGATTGGAAAATGCACACAGTCTGCAACAGAAAATAAAATCAGAGGAGCTAGTCCACGGCTAGTCTATCACTAGTTTAATTTAAAATACTTTTCTTATGAAAAAATTCAAATTCAAAGCAAATATTTGACATGTAGTTCTTGAAGGAAGCCATTAAGGCTGAATTCCATCAGTCATAACTCAACAACTATTATGTAGATTCAACTACACATAAAGGACTCTCGTCAAAGTCTTCCAAAATTAAATGGAACTGTAACTATGAATTCACATAATTATTCTTCCTACTACATCTTGGCGATCTTACAAATTGGGTCCAGTGTCCTTTTCCAAGACCACTAAACTTACTTCAGTTTTAAAAAAGGCAAAGCCACTGAATGGTATTTCATTCCAGCAGAACTACTGAAACACATGTTGACAGGACACCAATGCTTGCAAATCTGTTTATGCATATAGATTGCTTGTTCCAGATGCCAGCAGACCGAAGTAAAGCCACCAATCTCCTTTTTTAAATTAAAAAAATAGAACACATAGAGGTATTTTTCTCAAGCTACTATTTCCTATAAAGAAGTTGCATGTCTAACATTCTAATAGGAAGCTGGAGGATTGCAAGAAATATTCTTGATGGAGGAACAAGGTTAGAAACAGTAGGAGAAGTCTATCCCATTACTTCAATATTTAGCTGAAAAATATAACCTTGCTTTCATAAATCTCAGCAATTGATTTAATTCTGAGAAAAAGGCTTTGGATGAAATTGACTGCTTTCTCCATTGAATGGAATCTTCTCATTTTAATTAACTGGAGTGGCTGGCTATATTAAATCTAATAAATATTAATAATAATAATAATCTTTAATGAGAATAATGCATTGCAGGTCTGATATAGCTGTCAAGGGCATCCTCCACTTTTCTCTTCTATGTCTTTTCTGAAAATAGTGAAATAGGAATGTATTCTCTCACTTTAATTTCTATATAAACTTTCCAGTGCAAGTCTTGTCAAGATTAGAGTTCCTGTGCAGAATCTCTTGTATGGAGATGACATAGCTATCTGCTTTACATCTCTAGCTTCAGTTCTTCACTGAAAAGAGAATGGCCTTGTCATCAATCATGTTAACATCTTAGTAATTCTCTCTCCAGAAACCCTGTTATATATTGTAATGCCTGGAAAACCGACAGCATTAACATTAATCAAAAAGGGGGAAAATTCTTTCTATGCTTTGACACTAGCAGTGAGCAAATAAGCACTGTTTCTATGTGGGTCTATAATGTTATAAGTATTATTTTCTGTTTGGCTACCCACAAAGGCAGCAAGCAGATATGGGGCAGCCATTACAATTTTTAGCGTGAAGACCCTGAGTTATGTAATTTATGATGGAAGGAATTACAAATATCACAATGTGTCCTCCTTTGAAGTTTCAACAAAAACTCTTTTGGGTATTTCTATGAGTGCCCCTCTGTGTATCTAACTCCTTATTAAGGCTAGAATCTGGTCTGGTTTTAATGAAGATCCATATGCAGCACTCTGGCCTCTATGACCCTAATTTTACAACTGCATAGACAATTATGAAAAAAACCAGAGTTGAACTTTTCATTTGGTATCTGAGTTTGATTGGATTTGAGAAAACACTGACAGAGCTGAAACAGTAGATTTTTGACCTAGATCTACAGAAATATCTAAATGCTAGCCTAATATTTTACAGTCCCGGTTTATTTCAAAAAACTTTTTAAGCAGCTTCCTACCATGATAATATACTTTGTCCAATATACAGGAGAGCTTTCCCCTTTTAAAATATGCTGGCTTCAATATTATTAGAAGGGACATTTAATTGTAACCCTATGTAAGAATGAATTGTCTTGCTTCATTGACCTAATTAAGGACTTAAGTATGACTTTATTAACCAATAATAAAAATCCAGAAGACCTTTTTCTTTTTAGCTACTAAAGGTTAGATTAATAGGGAAGTGCAATGTTTTTCCCAACCTCGCTAGACTTTGAAATGCTATTGTATTATTTTGCTGCATATGAATATTAATGTACACTTTAAATTTCATTATTTTAAGGCTCATATTTAAAGCTGAAGAATGACATGTGGTCATAAATAAATAAATACCTATCTTCCTGCAAAATATTAAAAACCTGAAATCTACATCTGATAGCATACTATTGGGTCAATCCAATATATGTATGTACAAAGGCAATCCAAATGTTTATTAAAATAAAACGTATGTTGAAGTATAACATTTTATAAATATGCACACACATTAATAATAGTGATGCAAGCAGTCACGGCAGGATTTTCCCTAAAAGCAAAAAACAGCAGAGATATGCAGAGAATTAAAGCAAGATACTATTAAAAAAAATACAATAAAGGCATTTTAAGTATAGAGAGAAGGCAATATAAAAGGCGGTAAAATGGAGGAAAAACAGCAAAATACAAATGAATATAATGATTTGGGAACAGATTTGCTTGGATTCTCTGAAAGAACTAAATCAGCATAATGTTATTCAGAAAAAACACATTGTATGGAACACAATGTCCACAGAATCCTAGTTTCCTCAGAATGATGAATGAAGTGTTGTGCTAGTGACTTCAACCATTAGATACATGAATGTGATATTAAAATGCATGTACAAAAGGCCTAGAGTTTGTGTTTCAATAGCATGAAGATTGTTTCATCATTACTCCCCACCTTTCATGGCCACCTCCAAGGGCACAGGTGGGATCTGACAGGGTTAACTACCTGTCCAGTGATTTACGATGTGCTTCCCTGCACGCTGCGCGTGTGTGTAAATCTTCGTCAGCTTGCTGCCTGGACAGCTGAGCAGCATTGCGTGCAGAGAAGCAGCATTTGAAAAAGCACTTTCCCCTGCTTTTTCAACCGCAGCTGTGCCTTGCATGGCAGCTGTGATTGAAAAAGCAGGAAATAAAGGTCAGGTAAGAGCCCGGGCAGGCAGGTGGGCCAAAACAGCAGCAGACATAGAACCGGTTCTATGTCTGCTGCTCTTCAGAGCTACCAGTTCTACAGAGGTGGACAGAACCGGTAGAAACCCACCCCTGTCCAAGGGGTAAACATTTGTGATATTTTATTTGGAATTCTAATTGAAGGATAAGTGTACATTATCTATTGTATGAGTTTCAAAATTAATAGAAAATATTTATCA